GGCTCCACATTTCAAAGTAGAAGTGCTCATAAAACCTAACAAGCTTGCTTTGAAAATTTGATGACATAGAATACATAAGACAGGTGCTCTGTAAAATATCAAGCAACAAATAAATGTATGAAAGGGACCAGGACACGAAAGGATAGGGGATCAATGAAAATCCATCACTGAAAATTAGGAAAATTATTGAAAACACATATATACTGTTTTCTGCACAGATAAATGCCAGCAAGATCAGTAATGACCAACTTGGAGAGGGTCATTCGAAAAGGAAGGAAAGGTGTAATTAACTCTTGTGAATCCACCTATGCCTAGATGCCATTGCCAGAAAAACTGTTAGATGCCTAATTTAATGGTTGGCTGAAATTCTGTTATAAATATAGCTCCCCATTTCTTCCCAACTGTCCTTCCCCTCTCTACATGGTAGAGTGAAAATATTACTGTTCTGAGAATCAGGAGCTAGGTAGCCTAGTTTGAGTTCACTAGATGTGTTTACTTTGCATTGATCATTTATTCATTCATTCATCCAGCCAATGTTTATTGACCTCTTAAGTATCAGGTCCTGTACTGACCACAGGAGATAGAGCAGTATACTTCTCACATGCCTTCCCTTCTAGCAGGGGTCTCTTAACTTCTCCAGCCTCAGCTCCTTCATCCGCAAGAAGCGGGAAATGAGTGCAGTGCTCTCTACAGTATCTTCCAGCCCTAATGTTCTCAGTGTTGATTCTCTCTGAAGATTTTCATTCTTTATTCTTCTCTAAAGACCTACATATAATCTTGCTGAGTCTTTCCCTCTTCATTAAATTATGAAATGTTGAGTCTGTATTTATGTATATATATTTACATACATGAACATGTGTATGTATACACACATTATCTGTATATAGCCTATAACCTATCTTCTAAATAGAATTCCTCCCTTCAAGTTATGTATTGCACATTTTTGAGAGTTATTGAGGGAAGTCACTATGCTGTTTGTGAAGGCAATAGTCCCTATCTTCTAAGTGCTTATAACGTAATAGACAAGACAAGATAAATATACAATAAATACACATCAGAATCCTTCCTTTAGAAGAAATCCCTTTCCGTTAGTGGGATCAGAGGAGGTTTCTTCCAGGCAGTGAAGCTAAAGTGAGCTTGCAGGAGAGGATAAGATATTGATAAGCAAAATTTAAAAAAAAAAAAAAAGAGAGATCATCCAGGAAATAGTATGAGCAGAAGAAAAGAATAAGAAAGCACAGAGTCTCTGAAAAAATATTGGCCATGGTGAACATTTCATATGTGGGATATGAGAGTTGAGACAAGTAGAGGAGATTGCAGCCAGATGTGAATTACAGCACCAAATTCAGGTGCTGGGACTTTATGCTGTAGGCTAGCACATCCCAGTAGAGTATAATACAAGCCACATATGTAATTTACAATTTTAGAGGCCTCATTAGAAAAGGTAAAAAGAAACAGGGGAAATTAATTTTAGTGATAAATTTTCTTTACTCAGTGTGGGCATCGCAACATAAAATCAATATATTTGACATTCTTTTTTTCATACTATGTCTTTGAAATCCAGTGGACATTTAACACTTTTGGTACATCTCAAGCTGTGCTCATGGATAGGGGCTAGTGACTACCGTATTAGATCATGCAGTTCTAGGCTATGAAAAGTTATTACGGGGTTTTAGAGGGAGAGCAGTTTAGTAAAAGCAACTTTTCGGCAGCTGAATGAGGCTTTTGTATGTAGATGTGTATCAGATTGTGAGGATGTTATAGCACAGGACAGAGAGTTGAACCTGTTGAAATCATCTGGTTTTGAAGCCTGGTGGTTGACTCATGGATTATGAAAACTTGGGAGAAACATTGAGGCTACACAATCCAGTTGAAGAGAAAGTAGTGAGCAATATGCTGACTCATACATTTAAAAAAACAGAACTATTCTTTTGCATACAACTATTCTTTTGCACCTGATTATTTTGTTTATCTCACTGGGCCTGAGCCAAATTAGGTTCACTCAATTCCACAAACAAGGATCAAACATCTAATAATGAACTGTGCCAGGCTTTGGGGATTCATAGATGTTTGGGGATTCATAGGCCATTGTTCTTAATGTCAGTAACTTAATGTCATGGCAATTACACAACAGAGGGCAAAAGCTATTTTTGAAGGCTTTGGAAATACAAAATAGGAACTATCCAGTTCTGCCTGGAAGAATCAAGAAATGGGGCAAGTGATGCCTGAGCTGAATATTGAATGATTACAGTTTCTACAGGTGGAAATGGAAGAATGGTCATCATGTAGGGAAGGAAGAACCTGCTGGAAATTAGGAAAGTACCTGGCATGTCTGGGCAACAATAAATATCTTCCCAATTTAGGATCTGTGTGGACATTTATCAAAAATGAAGCTAGAAAGGCAATTAAGGGTGAATTGGAGGAAGAGGGAGGTCAACATGTAGCTAAATGTAAAGTGGCTGCACTTTGCCGCAGAGACCTACAGCCTCATCAAGGAGAGAGGGCACTTCCAGAGCCCGCAGGTGAGCACTGGAGAACATGGCTTTAACCTGAGAAAAGACAGAGAGGAGTCAGCTTCTGTGAGAGTAATGTGAAGACAGTGGCTTACAGATTACAATCCAGAACACTGACTTGGTGTCAGATAAAATGATCTGCCTTTTCACCGAAAAGTATTTGACATTTCACTAAATTGACCTTTGCTTGCCAATAGCAAACTCAATTGCATTATTTTCTCTGTTCAAAGTTTAATAGTATAGTCATAGGCACAATGTATCTCTTGAAGGTGAGCTTTTGTCGTTCGGTATTCTGTGTTCCCCGAACAAAAAGCTTCAAGAAAAATTCACTAGTTTTGTTTTTTCTTAAAGTTACAGGTGATGGAGAAATATGCCTGCATGAGTTTTCTGTTGCAGCATAACAAAAGCCCACCACCATGGAAACTTAACATCTATATTAGCACATAGTTCTTTAGGTCAGAAGTCCAGGTAGGCTCAACTGGATTATCTGCTGAGCGTCTCACAAGGCTGAAATCAAGTTGTCATTTGGATTGTGCTCTTGTCTGGAGATGACTCTCGGGAAGAATCTGCTTCCAAGTTCATTCTTGTGGTTGGCAGAATCCAGTTCCTTGTGGTTGTAGGAATGAGGTCCCAGTTTTCTAGCTAGCTATTGACTAGGGGTCACAAATCCTAGAGGCTGCTTTCCAAATCCTTGCATCTTCAAACTAGCAACACTATGTCAATCCTTCTCTTGCGTGGAATCTAATCACTCCTTCTGCTACTTGCTAGAGAAAATACTCTGCTGTTTAAGAGCTTATCTGATTAAATTAGACCCACCTGAATGATCTCCCTATCTTAAGTTCAACTGATTAGTAACATTAATTACAATCTGTGAAATCTTTTACCTTGTAATGTATCACAATCGTAGTAGTAACACCAAGACCAAGGTTATGGGGTCCATGTACAATTCCACACTCCCTTTAATAGCATGTCAGAGTATCTTTCAAATAGAACCATTTTTTTTTCCTATAAACTGAAAGAAGCATTTGTTGCTAAAAATGAAACAAAAACAAAACAAAATCTTTGAATGTCCATAAAAGGACAGATATAGGAGTTTTTCCTCTCAGTGGCTGATTAAATGGGGGGGGGAATAAATTTATATGAATTTAAGAGAAAATGAATAAAATAAAAATAATTTTTATTTCAGGTAGTATGGTAGAATAGGTACCCTATATCATCCATATCAC